GCAGAAATAAAATTTATTAATAGTCAATAAAATCATTTATTTGCATCTGGCGAATTAGAGATTGCTTTGGAGCTGTTCGGCATTTATTTAAAAGAAAATACTCGACATTTAGTTACCGAAAATGATTTCAACAGGTAAATTTGAATTAAAATATTTATGCTATGCACAATTAAACATTTATTGATATAAAATCTTGAAGTTAAAGTAGAAATTGCAAAGCAGTTAAGGAAGTATATCGGGGTCCGAGGGAAGTGAGGAGCGCAGGGGGCGCTATGCTTTTCTTATGGGACTAAAGCCCGCTGCCAATTTGAAAAAAATTAATTTTATTGAATTTATTTGCGATAAACATTATCTATATAGCAAAGAAATCTACTCATATGCACATAGCATACATAATGACTAATTAACAACAAAAAAATATCATATTTAAGTAGTTTTAAATTATATTTAATGAACGCATAAAGACTATGTAGATGTGGCAACAGCGCTAATAATTGACTAGCAGTTGTACACACAATGCGAACCTACAGACTTTGGATATCGGAGATATTGCGCGTCAAATTCGGATAAAGATGAATACGCGTTTAAAAATGTATTGTGTGTAAACTATGTACAATATAATTATTATATATAGCAAATATATCGTATTATCCTCGCGAAGATTTGTGTCCTTTATTTAAAATCCGTAAATCATAACTGATAAAACAACGAGAATTATGTTAATTTAGTTCTAAAGAAATGAAACGACACTCGCGTCCATCTCTCGTCCAAGTCGAAGAAAATGTTGGATGCAATTTTGAAGGTTCTATGATAGAAATTACATTATTACTCACTGTTCATCTTTTTAATCTCTATTTTAGTAATGTTTAGTAAGTTTTGCAACTATAACTAATTTTATAGATGTAAAGTTTTCTGGGAAATATTTATGTTCCTTTGTTATTCCGTACAAATGGTTTTATCTCAAGTATTACTAATTATATTATTCAAGTAAAGAAAACTTTATGTAACCCTAAATATTGCTGGGTAATGATTTCGATGTTTTTATAAACCATTAAATATATTAAAAAGATTTATCAACTGCATTTTTTATTCCAATAAATATATCACATCTTCCTGGTCTTTTTTAATTAATCTAGTTTTTTAAAAACATTACAAAAAATAATCTGTTGTGGATAATTCATTATTGATAACAATGTACATGGGATTTAGGAAAAATGTATATGTTTGAAATCAATTTCGTTTTTATCAAGATTTTCAAATGTATTCCCTCCTTGCTGTCAGCTGATTGCGACGTTGCCACATTAATCCTCAAGTCAGACAGAAATGCAATTATTGTTTTCTGTTTCTAATTAATACAGCTGTACTATGTTCAAAACTTATATTAGTTTTACATCAAAAATAAGATAATACTGTGTTGTATCTATGGAAAAGCTTTGTTTAACAATTTTTACATATTTTTCTCAGTTATGGGCAAAAAAAGAGCCGCACCGTCCATCTTCGCCATATAAACCTATGTTAAAATGAACAACTTTCAACAACAATATCAAAATCTAGATTCAAATAAAAATTCAAAAAAATATGACGCACTGGTTAATACGCTATATAAATTTCAAGTACATCTGTGCATTTGAGTAAACCCGATATACCTCCTTTCAATTTTTATTCGTGAACGGGGCATTTTTATTAGAAATGTTGTTTCCAGTTCTGTAAAAAAATATTATATTGCGACACCACTGTGTGTACTACTAATGAAACGTTTCCCCGGGCCAATTTTTGTAAGTAACGTCTAAAAACAGCCACGGTGCCGCATATCCCCTATCTTAATAAATCAGTCTTAAGCCTGATATCAGCCCTTATATATTTATGGGCTTTAGGACATTCCTGTCATATTCATCACCACTGTATGATTCATGCTCGTATCTGTATAGTGTAGGTTAGTCCCTAAGCATGAAAAAAACACGCACGATTACCTTTCCTCTATAGGACGAAACGATGCGGAGGATAACGTTTTGAATTGCATCAAAGGAATTAATCGAATGATTGACCTTTTTGTTTTTGTGAGATTGGATGTTCAGGGCAACATCAGCGAGCTCCCGTGAAAATGTGGATTTTAATTCACAGGCCGACACAGATTTGTAGATCCAGAGTATGATATTTGTTTGGAAATATAAAATTATCAACTCTGGACGACGAAATGTAACTGAAACTCGATTCAATCGTTCCTCGCTTCAGTTCTATTTAAATCTAATAGAATTCGTCTGCATGCATTTTGTTTTAATCTACAAGACCGAGAATTTTCTTTCGTTGTCTTTATTTATGTTTACAAACCCATCAGATCCAACTCAAACATATTAACTCACGTTTTTTTACACAGGTCTATCAAGACGGCGCGGCGGCAATAAATTGTTTGTTTTACCGCAGACTACGTAGTTTTTTCGAACTCTGCGTTGTTAGACAGAAAGATTTCTATTCTATTTCGCTCTATAAGACTTCTTTTGTGTGTTGGTACAGAGACATCATTAAAAAAGACAATTCTAAGAGTTACTTAGAGATAGAAAAGGGAAAAAAACTGTCTCGGCGGTTTTCTCCTCTTGAAAATTATCCGATAATGCTTGTATAAACTCGAGAACCAAGTTGGAATCTTTTGATGTCGCGCTGTATACAGGGTGTCCCTGAAAAGGATGGACAGTGCTTGACCACAGGTTTCTTGAATGAAAATAAAACTATTTAGCGTAACTTAACCTGGCTTTTTTCAAATAATTTGTAAACAATTTTCCTTAGAAACTTCAAATTTGATGCACATATTTTTTTTATAAGAGGGCAATGTAAATAAAGAATACATATACAGGATGTCCTCTTTCTAGTGCCTGTACGCCACTGGCTATCCCGTAACTTTTTTGTGTGTACACCAATGACGCCAGAATTTATATTTTTAAAAATAAGCACTATTTGAAAAGATTTTTTACCTCTTACAAAATTTTGATGAAAAAACTAAATTAACTACACATTTTTGGTCTTAGTAGCATAAACCAATAAAATAAAAAACTAACACTAGTAATTTAAATAAACAAAATCCACTAATAATTTAAGAAAGTCAACATCAACATTTTAAATAAACCTAAATTGATATTTGTAATCATTAAAATAATATTGCAGTAAATGCTCAAAGTGACTTCCTTTTGTCATTTGGAAATTCTTCGGCTAGGGAATCTCAGCATATATTCGAACACTAGCACAACAATTTCCTTCACAATAACCCAAAACTAGTAATTTATCAGTTTGTTCAGCAAAAGTATAAATTGCAGCCAGCGTAAAGAAAATATTAATTTAATTATAGTTATGAATTTGTTTCTTTGTTATGCGGCACCACTGGCACTAGACTAGACTGATCTAATTATATTAAACTGATTTTATATTATTTAATGTGTAAGAAATGCTAATTTTACTCGAAATCCATAAACGATATCAAAATTATTAAAAATATAAATTCAGTCGTCAGTGGCATACATACAAAAAAGTTGCGGGATTGCACAGGCACTAGAAAGAGAACATCCTCTGTATATGTAATCACACCAAATTCTATATTTACATTGCTCTTATATAAAAAAATATGTGTACCAAATTTGAAGTTGCTAAGAAAAACAGTTTTCAAATTATTTGAAAAAACTACGTTATCTGTTATATATTTAGAAGGCTATATCTCAGTAGGCGTGCACTTTTGTATATAGCGTTGTGTCAAGCGTTGTCCATCCTTTTCAGGGGCACCCTGTATATTGTAAATGTATCACTAAAAAGGACAATAACTCACATTTTTCATGATGGCGGTTAAAACTATTAAGAACAATGGAAGTAAGATGAAAAAGTTTTCTGCGGATTTGGAACGTTATATAACCCTCGTTACACTGTAACATGCGGGTTGCCAGACATCAGTCACAACATGACCTACCTTTGAAATACTGAGAGCTGGCAATTTTGAATAACGCTTATATTTAATTTTTTATGATTTTATTACCTTACAGTCCTTAGCAATGACATAATTTAGCAGTGAGCTTGTTTTAAAATTGTTGTATGTCATAAAATTGTTAACAGTGAACTTACGTGAGAGATTATTTGAGTTCTTTATGTGCTACATTCATTTTGGTATTCTTATGTATTGCTATCTCTTCTTTCATTCCATTTTTTTCTCTACTTCTAAAAATATGTGTTCGGGAAAGAGCCCTATTCTAGAAAGCGATTTTTTTTGTGAATTCATAAATGTTTATGTACCATTAAAATACACCAACAAAGACTGGCATGATTCGGACTGGCCTATAAGTGCATATATTCCTTTTATATTTCATGAACCCAGCCCAGTCTGACATGTAGCTTTGTCCAGGGATTTCAAGGGTTGCTGTCAATAAATCTGACACATCTATCAAATTCAATTTATATCTACAAAGAGAAATATTATTCGCTCCATTTACGCTGAATTATATCGAAATCTAATTCGGTAAAACGTAATATATCACAGACCAAGCAGCAAAAATAACGCAAAAAGTGGTCTGGGGATGAGCGGCTGACATTGCAAATTTAATAAATCACTGGGAAAGCCCAGCATATAGTGCAGTACTATAAACTTAGACAGTTCATGAAATTCTATTGAAAAATGTGTAAAATTGTAGGTGGCGAAGTATTGTTTTTGTATTCAAGAATAGAGAGTATAAAAACAATTGAGTCCAGTGCGCATTTGTGGGCGGAGCTGTCTCAGATGCAAACTTATCGATGTCGATCTGTAAAATATTAAAGTTTTATGAAAAATAAACTATGATTTATATTTTCAACCGTTGGCGTTTCTAAAAGAATTCATTTACTAAATCTTAAAAATAACCTTGTTTTATTGGGTCATGTTTTTTCTGTATACGTATTTCTGTACACGTATAGTTGATATTTTTTTTTCAGATGTAGGTAATCAAATGTTGATAAAAATTGTAAGAAGTGATAAGTATAATGCATAAACATTCTAACGTTTAAATAAACTCTTTATTATCTAGAGATTACGCCTAACAATAAGGTGCTCATCAAACTATATCTAATGTTACTTGGCCAAGGTTTCTGATATATCCACCCGAAACTGAAAAACAAATAAGAATATCTACAAAAGACAAAGTCCAAGGAACAGATCGTTTACTGGTTTCATAAATTTTACTCTTTGTACTCCATATTTTTATTGAGTTGTACACAAAATTCCATTAATCTACACATCTCAGATATCTGTGTAGTTACAATATTTTTGAAAATAACTTTTTTCTCATCTGTATACTATGTACGGATAAGATTTTTTATACTGTTTATTACCAGCTATTTCCTAAATATTTTGGAGTAGTTCAATGCTAGTTAAGGCATAGAGTAGCAAAATTTGTATTGTAGCAAAAAATAATTTGTGTAAATATGCATATCTTTTATTTTTGAACACATAATAAATAATACTTCGGTATAGAATTTAAATGAAACATATTCTATGTTCATTTTACCTTAAACAAGCTTACAGACGTAAACAAACACTTATTTACTAAATCGATACGATCTTCAAAATTTAAAGAATCATATAAAAGATAAAAACACGCTCTAATTTTTCAGTCCACATTAAAAATAATATCTAAAATTATAATATCTATTAACTATTGAGATTTCTTCAAGGATTCGTTTGGTTTCCTATTTCGACTAATAAACCTAATTCCTAAGATGAGCATTTTAGCTATTTTGAAAACAGAGTAAGTGGTAAGAGCGCAAACCAGTCCTAGGAAGCAGAAGACATCTAACAGATAATACTGGTAAAAAGGCATACCAGCCCCTTTGTATCTTAAATGATGAGCCCCGTTGTGCCTCAAGACGTATTCGATCCACCATACGGCCTTCTCCAGTGGCGGAACTTGATGATCGAAGGCTATTGCTCCCAGTTTGCTGACAGTTTTCTTGTACCTGTAATTAAATAAAATGTGTCGTCAACACTTGTCAAGTTTTCATCAAAAAGATTAAACGGCAATACAGATAAAAGATTAACTTTCTAGATTTCCAAACGAGTGATTATTTTAATCTCATGTAAAATCCAGTGATTAAAATACTAAAATTAAGTAACGTCTGTGTCAATAATACTAATCAGAGAGGTCTGATATCTACAAAAGCCTTGGGATGAAACAACCCCAACAATATCCCTAATTTGAAATCAAACAAACGTCATAATATCAATAAACCAAGCGAGATTACATCAATGAAAGAATTAGAGAACGCCTAGCATATACTTACTCTGGATTTTGGATGACTTTATTTATTTTCTCCACCAATTCCCCTTTGCTTAAGTTGTCGAAATCGATGGAAAGTCCAGCCCCGCTGCTGACCATCTTATGGGCATTGAACAGCTGATCTCCAAAGACGGCGATAATCAAAAGGGGAACTTTGGCATTTAGTGCCTCATCGATTGACTGCAATCCTCCTTGAGTGACGAACAATTTGACGTTTGGATGCCTCAGTACGTCTTGTTGAGGGAACCATTTCCTAATTTCGACGTTGCTAGGTACACTTGAAACATTTGTAAGATCATCAGTTTCGAACTTGAACAGTACTTTGTACTCCAGTTCCGAAAAAGCAGACAGAATGGCGTCTAACTTGTCACGTGGCAAGAGAGAACTCTTCACGTTGGAGCCCAAATTGAAATACACAACCCCCTCCTTAGATTCGTCCAAGATTTGCTTCAGGTCCTGGAATAAAGCGAATAAGTGTATCTACTGTACGATTGCCAACTTCTGTTATATTGGAAAAACTCAAAGAAGAATTAACAGTTGCTACTTCAAATAAGTTGGAAATCATTATTAAAAAGTCAGAAATGCACGAAAACCATTATTTCTTCTTTGTCTATCTTTATAATCGTGAAGAGTTCAAAAATAATTTTTAACGGATTCTTATTTTGCTGGAAAAATCAAAGTTTATGAATTCTAAAAGTTCGGTAACTATTAAAAAAATAACTAACCTTAGGCAAAGGCTTCTCGGGTTGCAAATGTATCCCAGAAATTTCCACAAAAGCAGGTACATGGGGCCTAATATTCTGAGTTACATAGTTAAAGTTACCTAAAATCAGACTCATTTCGCTAGCGATTGTATACACATCTCTAGTCTTTGGTCCAAAGTACTTTCTGGTTTCCGCATTCAGTTTAGGCGCCAAATTGAAATAACCATTTAATTTAAAAATACTGTAAAAAATAGTACTCGTTACTCTTTCCTTAAAAGACAGATCCACAGAGAACGGTAGAAATAAATCAGGGTCCAGTACTGGATGTTTCACCAGCCCCAACATCTGAACAGCACTAATAGTAAGAGGTAAAGAAGTGATTCCTATCATTGGGCAATCGAATACGTCCTTGAAGGCATACATACAAGGATATAGGTTCTCTACGAGGAACAAGTCGTACTTCACTTTGTTTTTATTTGCCAGCAACTTCTGCATCTCCGGGGAAGAGATTTGGTCGTGGAAGACAGCGGAAAATCCTTCGAAGAGGGCTTTTATCTCTTCTGACTTGGACTCCCACTTGAAATTTTTATGACTGTGGTTTAGAAAAACATCATAAGAAAAGCTCAAGTCGATTTCGGTGAGGTTTGTCAACGAGGGATCTTTTAGCGGATTTGGGGTGAAAACTGTAACTTCGTGACCTCTTAAAGACAATTCCCTCCATATGGGTTGAAACACTTGTTGATGGCTATGGCTGGGGGTCATGAAGATACCCAGTATCTTCGCGGACTTCGCTGAAACCAGAATCACCGCGAACACGACACATGATAGCATATTCGTCTGCATGGTTATCAAACAACTACGAAAGTATTGGAGTTTGCTACGATATTTATAAAGTCTACAAATTTTCAAAGGTGGAGATAAGGTAATGATATAAATCGGAAATTTGAATACAAAGCATCTGCGATGTTGATCTATTTTACTATAAATTTTACGAAATACTTTCACGAAATTTAAATACAAGTTTTGTGACTTGAAATTAGTTCTTATTACAACTCATGTGAAAGAATATTTCTATTTCTTGATTACGGGAATATTAAAAAAAATTCGATATCTCATTTGTATAACGTCATACTCAAACAGTAATTTATTTTAACTAGAATTATGTCTTAATCTAGAAGGTATATAATACATAAATTACCTGACACTAATTGCGATTCATATCATAATACCTATACACAGCGTTGTGTAAGTTGTCATTCCTAATAATTGAAACGATATTAGTATACGGGGAATGTCAGCAAAATGTTGTCATAGCATCGCGGTTGTATGTCGGGCGCTTTCTTTTGCAAAGTCGTGGTGGACATTATTTGGAACAAAATTTTGCTGTTTGATTTCTATGTTGTGTAACAACGAAAATTTCAACTTAAAAAAAATTCTGTTCAACAACAAATAAAACATGAAATATAATAGGCGTCTTTTCTATGAAATTTCAGTCGTATTCATGATATAGAGGACCAACCTTTTATATTCCTTGTCATTTACTAAACAAATAGACAATGGCAAATAATAAACGGTGTATTTGGTGGTGTATAGTTAAGGGGTTTTGTTCCCATTTGAACCCCCTAAACTTTTACGCCAATGGAGAAAATATTTTTTCACTTTTATTTATTTTTATATTATTTTATACAAATAATAGTTATTTGTGAACTTTAATAGAACAGACATTTAAATAAGATGTCTGATAATATCATAACAAAACAAAATATTTATCTTCACCATTGAAGATATATCACGTAGATTCATTGTGACCTCTTGAAAGATTAATTCGAATACGTGCTTAATTGATTGTATGACTATATAAATTTAAGTCCTGAAATTCCAAGCACAATAAAATTAAAAATAAATACACTATGCTCTAGAAGTTAGGATTTTGCCACAGGTCTCATTGATCTCAAATTTTGGCAAAAAAAACGTAAAATCGTTAAATTCTACATTTAAGGGCGCCATATTCTTTAAATAGTGTTGTTCGCAAAGACAATTTCAAACATTTAATAACTGAATAATCTAAAGCTTATCAAATGATAGGAATGCCACCTGAGTATTTTCAAAGACGTCGCAGTAAAACGAATAAACAGGTGCAAAAAACGATCAAACCATCAAGGTTTTAGGTACTGAAATCTACGAAAATACTAACTTTTTTATATACAGGGTGAGTCAGTTTTTTGTGGTAGGATTTTAACAGTTGATAGAGATTCATTTTTTAATAAGAAAAGTTCCTATAAACGTAGGCCTTATAACGCTTCGTTTGTGAGATATAGGGTGTTGAAAACAAACTTTTTTTAAGAATTTTTCTTAATATCTCTAAAAGACCAACAGATATTAAACTGAAATTTGGTATTAATAATACATTAGTTATGTTGAATAAAACAAAGACATCTGTTATCCATTTCACCCACCAGTGACGTGCCTGAGATGGGCTACTGCCCCCTTTAAAAAAATAATTCGTACGCCCGTGGATTTTTCTGGAAAATAACATCATTTCTAAATTTTTTAATCAATGCTGAACAAAACAGCTCTCTTTTAATTTTTTATAAAATTAATTCATTTGGCATGAAACTGTTCCAACGATATTGGTAGGTACCTAATAGATACATTTGTGAATTAATAAGAAAAATCAACAAAAACGATTGAATGAATAATAACAGTTGTTAGAGAATCATTTTTTAATAAGAAAAGTTCCTATAAGCATAGGTCTTAAAACGCTTCGTTTATGAGATATAGGGTGTAGAAAACAAACATTTTTAAGAATTTTTCTTAATATCTCTAAAAGACCAACAGATATTAAACTGAAATTTGCCATGAAAAAAACAAACACAGAACTTAAAAAAAGAACTAATTGACACACACGTTATACAATGTTCGCGTTCTTATGTCAACGTTATTACATTTAATCGTTTTTGATGATTTTCAGGGTACATCATATTTTTCTTATTACAAATGTATTACCAATATCGTTGGAACAGTTTCATGCCAACTGAATTTAACCAAAAACCGTTCATTTTATAAAAAATTGAAAGAGATCTGTTTTGTTCAGAATTTTTTAAAAATTTTAGAAATTATGTTATTTTCCAGAAAAATCTACGGGCGTACGTATTATTTTTTTAAAAGGGGCAGTAACCCACCTCAGGCACGTCATTGATGTGTGAAATGGATAACAGATATTTTTTTTTATTCACCATAACTAATGTGTTATTAATACCAAATTTCAGTTCAATATATGTTGGTCTTTTAGAGATATTAAGAAAAATTCTTAAAAAAAAGGTTTGTTTTCAACACCCTATATCTCACAAACGAAGCGTTCTAAGACCTACGTTTATTGGAACTTTTCTTATTAAAAAATGAATCTCTATCAACTATTAAAATCCTACTACAAAAAACTGACTCACCCTGTATAACTCCACATGTAAATATTCTTATAACATTTACTTGCTTAGTCCTACATATAAAATTGTTTACTTTTATTTATAAGTACGTGAAAATAATTCTTAAAATGTGGGGTTAACAGCAAACGCATGTTCTACAAACTTTTTTTGTAGTTATTTGTTTATTTGAGAAAATTTAAATGGTAACAATGAATAAACAGAAAACAAGGATTTTATTTTTGTGCTTACTTTTGTTCTACACGTTTTACTTTTCAAGATTTCAGTACCTAAAAACGCCAGAAATTTCACTATTTCTCGGCCAGGGATATGGTCACAATGGTACAATGCTATATTTCATGATCAACAAATTATCTCTCTCAGGACACACAAGAATTAAAAAAAAATTGAATAAATAAAATAAATTTAGAGTGAATTATACACATGTATACATTGATGAAAGAAATTAGTGTATTTTATTAGTTCTCGCATTATTATTTTTTTACTAATTTTGGCTGTAATTATTTATTTGCGCCATTTTCAGTAACTTTTTCCATTTTTTGTTGGGTGTATCTATCCCACTGAAAAAAAAAATAATGTGTTGCGAATAACTATCTAATTTCTGAGTATAAGATATTTCTAGCTAGGCAAATCTAAGTTTTAAAAAATCAACCCTTTCACTGATGCCATCTGCGCAAAAGGTTTATTTGTTTTGTGTTTCTTATCTACTATGTAAACAGTTTAGACAAAAACCTTTTGAAGTATATGATAATATTGATACGAGATCTAAAGTGCGTCAAGACAATGCATATATAAATAACCATCAAAAGATATAACTTACTTTTTCCAGTGTGAGGTAATTGTAGATTAGCGACATACATCTTGAAATTAGAGATATTCGAGACACGGATATTAACTTTTTTTTTAAATAGATAGTTACGATTTCTCTGAAAATATAACGTAATAATTTATTATTGTAAATGTACTTACCAAGTCTAGCTTCAACTTAGTTTTGCTTAGACAGGCTATTCGGTTCTGTTAAGGAACATGTGTTTGCATACGTTGGTGAGATACGATCCATTTTTTAAAACAAAACAGTGAAACTATTTTGTACTTTTTTTTTAATGGATTGTACAGAAGGACAGTCAAACGCCATTATTAGAAATCAACGCAATATTAGTTGCTTGGAAGTAGAAATTAAGCTTAACATTTTGTGCAAAAAATATTTATTAACATTGTTTATTTAGTATAGTTTTATTTTTTTTATATATTTTCTTCACTTTGCAATTTTTATCAGAAGAGTAAACCACTAGGAAGAAAAAAGTTTCTGTAAAGTCCAATGTGACTACAAATATGACAAAACTTTTACTTCATTACAAAGTTTATTATTAAGTTAGGAACTGTCGAATTTATTTGAATTAGTTTCCTTTCTGATAACGTAAAAATTCGAGAACCAATAATAATATACACGTTTCTTTGTTACATGTGTCCACATTAATTGACAGTTTGGTAAGAAACTGTTGAAAAGCCTATAACATTGAAGCTGATTATTAAAGAGTAAATACTATCACATGTCCCTGTATGACTTGTTCGTACTTTTCTAATTATTTTTATCAATATTTTACTTAATTATTATATTTAATGGTATGTTGTTAAAGGAAATCGTAAAAAAATTCTTATTTGCAGATACAAAGTCATTCGTACATTCCTTAGAACTTAACACAAACTGGTTAACTTTGAGTTCTAATAATTATTGAGTGGAATGGTTTGATTACCCATCATATCCAAGGCGTCTAGGGGCGGAACCAAAGATGTGATTCAAGTCAAAGGACGTTGATGTTTGACAACAAAGACCCCCATAGGGGAAAAATCCACTCGCCCATAACAACATCAAATCTAATGCCAGTCTTAACAATTTTTAGATTTTTCATACTGAAAGGCTACCTTCATGAACACATCCTTAAGACAAAGAAAAAATTAAGTTCCCTTAACATAGGTTGTGTTGCATCTCGAGAAACACTATTCATAAAGTCGTACAAAGAAATTGAAGTCGCGTTCTGTTAAATTTGTTCAGAAAATCTCTCTTGAGTGATTTGTAGTCAACATAATTGCTGCTATAATTGCAACAAAGATCTCGCACATTGTAACAAACACGGATGAAATATTACGCTGAATAGTTAGTTTTTATAAAAACTGGCTCTTTTTGCAATGAATATAATTAAAGTGTAAATATACTTAGCTATTATTCTTATCTTACCTCGTAGTTACTTACTGTAAAAAACAAATTAGTATTATGAAGCAAAACGCAATAAAATGTAAAAGATTACAGACTTCAGTTATATTAGAGTGTAGATAAAAGTTGATTGCAATAGCTAATAGTACATGTTAATAATTTTAAAGCTTCTTATAGGATGGGTAAAAATATATTTGTCTAAAAAAAGCCTCACTTTTGATGACACTGTATATGATGTTTGTAGCAGAAAATTAATTGATAATTATTATAAATTTTTATGAACAATAATTACAAAACACTACAACAAACGGTATAAATTATTTTTTGTTTGGTATGTTTTTATTTACTATTATTACATGGGAATTAAAAAATACAAGATTCTGTTTAATGGTAATATAAATAAATAATTATATTTTTAGAGTTACTTTAACAAATCGGCGCAAGCAATATTAATAAAGGGATTTTGAGATTAAAAAAAGTAATATTCGTTACAAACCTATTGACGTGTGTGAAAATAACATTTTCAGTTAAAAATTTGTAATGCTAATTTGAAAATAACTACATTTGGGTATATTTCAGTCTCACTGTTTCTTTTTAATGTTTGCCTTGTCGCTTTTTGGAAACAACTTTCGAAGGATTTTTCTCAGGAACAAGTATACTCCTTTCAGAATAAGATAAACCGCTGTCAGGATAACGCATAAGAGGGCCAACAAAAATGCTATGATATCCAACATGAAATACTGCCACCAAGGAATATCCAGGATTGGGCTTCGTAGATGCTTGGCACCCTTGTGTCTAATTACATACTCAATCCACCATATCGCCCTTTTGAGGCCATCGATTGGTTGATCATACATGAGGCTTGCTAGGGTCTTAGCATTCTCTTTATAACTGAAAACAAAAAAGTCACACATACATACGATTATAAATAATTTGATTGTCGTCAATAAAGCATATCTCCATTAACCTACCTTGGATTGGTCATTATTTCATAAATGGATGAGTTCAGTTCTTCAGCAGTGAAGTAGTCCAGATCAAGACCAAGTCCTGCTCCGTACTTAACAAACGTGTCAACATTGAATGTTTGGTCGGAATGGGTTGGGAAGCCAATAATTGGTACTTCCGCCAAGATCGCCTCTTCCGACGATTGCAGTCCACCTTGCATTAGGAACAACTTCACGTTGGGATGATCTACGCAAATAAAACTTTGTCACCTTTAAATAAATGATTAATTGTAAGGTTTGTTTCTGCAGAGGTTTTTGAGTTTGAATTTAGCATTTGTGCAGAGTCAGTCACAAACTCTGATAGACAGTCTGTTGTTCTTGAAGATGACTTTCAAGACACCATTCAAAAATAAAATTATGTTAGAAGATAGCAGTATGGATAGCCTTCGAGCAGCAAAAATTTCGAACGGTTTGGGGATAATCACCCTTAGATCATACTTGGTACAGGTAGTTTCCAAATTATCAGAAACAAACCTACTATATGTTTTCTTTATTTTCTTTATTATTTAAAATTGCGTCGAAGTAATAGAGGACAATAATATTTTTGTCTTTAAAACCCGCAGTTTGTGATCCAATTTGCTTACCTAGTACCGTAAGTTGAGGAACCCACTTTGAGATGAAGACATTATCTGGCTTCCCAGGCAATGTATCGTTCTCCCATTTAAATAAAACATTATACGGCAATTTACCGAAAACATCTAATAGTATATTAATTACATATTCAGATAGGTATATGCTCTTTAAGCCCGAGCCCAAGCTGAAGTAAATCGCCCCTTGTGTTGATTTATCCAAAAATTTCTGGAGCTCCTGAAAACAGTATTGTAATAAAAAATTTTAAGAATATCGCAGTACCTTTTTGATCATGTGCTTATGGGACACCCTGTATATGTAGCAATACACATACATGATTATCTTAAAGATAAAATGTACGAGCTATGACTAGAATAAATAAATTCCAAATTAAATTAAAAAATTATTAAACTACATAATTAAAAAAAAATCCTAAAAATCTTATCTGTCTATGCAATCTCATAAACAGCATTCTTAACTGATTGACTGACATTGCGAAAACCAACTGCGTGCTATGCCGTACCATTAAATGATGTCACTATATTTATCATACTTTTCCTTAAGAAATTGGTCAAATTAAAACAAACTTACCAAATCTAACTTTGGTTTAGTTCTGTTTAAACTAATCCCCCCTAATTCGATTATAGCAGGAACTACAGGCATAACGCGGTGAAAAACAGGACTTCTATTAAGAAGCAAGATACTGACGTTCCTTTCGATGTCGCCTAAATATGGCATATCCTCCCCCAGATACTTTTTAATTAGTCCGTCTTCTCTTGGAAGCACCACTAAGTGATACCAAGTCCTCACGTAAACGGAATATAGAGCAGACATAAGGCGTTCCCGGAAAGGCATGTCCCTTGTAACTGGCAAGTTTTGATCAGGACTAGATATTGGATGAGAAGGATTACCCACAGCATCCAAACCAACTAGCGGTGCACCCAGTGATGAAATTCCAATCAAGGGACATTGGTACTTCGCACCGAAAGCGCTCATAGTGGGAAAGAGCCATTCGGCTATAACAACATCGAATTTCACGTCACTTTTTATCAACCGTTGCATTTCCTCATGTTTGAAGCTTATCTCACTTAGCTTTGAGAACATATACGTCATATAAATGTCTTTTAGGAATACTATTGGAAAACTGGGTTTCTTCAAAACGTACTGTTTATCTTCCTGAGGAATACTATTTAACCTTTCGTATAAGAAACTGAGGTCATATTCCGTTAAATTAGTCAAGGTTGGGTCTCCTAAAGGACTAGGAGTTACCGCGTGTACGTTGTGACCTCTTAGGGATAACTCTTTCCACACTGGCTGAAAAGCCTTTTGGTGACTTATTGAGGGAAAAACAGAAACGAATAATATATTGGCACTGTGAATGTTCTTAGAGAGAAGGAGAAGAACCGAAATAGTCGCAATGTGTACTTCAAAGCGTAACATCCACATGATTACTGCTAGAAGTATAATTGGAATTTTCACTTATCAGAGATAATTCCAATATCAAAATCAGATAATCGTCGACAGGTGCTTAAACACATATTTTTAACTGATATCTATCGTGATACAGATTCAAATCTGTAGTACCAACTGCCCTAATAATTACATATTCTCTTGTAAACATTTCCACTACACAGATAAGCTCTAAAATTCTAAAGTAACAAACTTTTTCAGAACACATTTTTTCATCCGTATTTTCAACATCAAAATGCAAAAAATATGTAAATATAAAACTGTACTATAAAACAGAGACTTAACCCAAACAAAATACTTAAGACAAAATTATTGAGCTAGCTGGAGGTAGCGCAATCCAAATTAGTGTATCGATTTATAAGCTCCCATGGAATATGTTACTCATCGTCGCGAGAATCATTAATCTCTTGAGAATCCACGAGGCAAAGGATAATATATCACGACATTTTCACGACACGACCCCAACTCTTTGATATAAATATGCAAAAGTAGTATACGTGTATTATTAGCCATAAATATATAGTCTATGGGGTGGTTACACTTTACTCTCAATGTAAAACTGTTAAGGACTATCTAGAACAATAATTTGTTCCTTTCTCTTACTCGAAAATCAGGCTTTTTTCGAAAAACAAAAGAGAGTAGTAATTTGTAGAAAATTGAAAGACAAATTCGAAAATATCATGATTGTTACCGTAAAGCGGTGGCGTACTATTTTATTTAGAAAAATATGCCACCGATACCCTGTATCTCCGCCACTGGAGCATGTAAATTTTAGGAAAGCCCCTTAGATATTGGACAATGGTTACATAAATTGGTGCCCAATTTCAAATTATTTTTATTATTTTCCTCCACCAGAGGAAACGGGGTTTGGAAGTCTACTCCATTGGCAAAAACGTACATTGAAGACTCTATTGAGAATCAAATTTTAGTTTCAAATAAAATATCTTCGAACTTTGTCGAATTTTTTGATGTTGTTGCTGTTGAAAATTAATTCTTAAGATTTTGATCTAGACAACATGAACTTTCCGGAAAACACCTACTCAAAAAGTACTTACCAAGTTTAATTTAGGTTTTGTTCTATTCAGACTGATTCCACCTAGTTCAATGGCAGTAGGAACGAGAGGCATGATGCGATGAAACACGGAGTTTCTATTAAGAAGCAAGACGCTAACGCTTCTCTCTATGTCACCTAAATATGGTAGATCTTCCCCTAGATATTTTTTAACCACCCTGTCTTCCCTTGGAAGCACGACCAGGTGGTACCAAGCTCTCACATAGACAGAATAGAGAGCAGACAAGAGTCTTTCTCTAAACGTCATGTCCCTTGTAACTGGCAAATTATGATCCGGGGAAATTGTAGGGTGGGAAGGATTACCAACAGTATCCAAGGCGACTAGGGGTGCGCCCAAGGATGTGATTCCAATCAGAGGACACTGGTATTTGGCAGCAAGAGCGCCCATGGTGGGGAAAAGCCACTCGACTATAACTACATCAAATTTAATGTCACTATTTAGTAACTTTTGCATTTCCTTATGCTGAAAGGCCGTTTCGCCTAACAAAGACAATTTGCCTGTTAGAAACATGTCTTTAAGAAAAACGAGTAAGAAGTTTGGTTTCTTCACCATAAGGTTCTTTGTGTCTTGAGAAACAGTGTTCAAGAGATCGTACAGGGAACCGAAGTCGTATTCTGTTAAATTTGTCAGGGTAGGGTCCCCTAAAGGATGAGTAGTTATGGCGTGCACTTTGTGTCCTCTTAACGACAATTCCTTCCAAACCGGCTGAAAAGCTTTCTGATGACTTATGGAGGGCATAATAGATACGAATAATACATTCGCGCTATAGACACTTGACAACAAAATAACTAGAATTGCATGTGTTGCACTAAATATCCCGCACATTGTAATTATCGCGGATGAGAAATTAAACTGCCGAATCAGCTTTTTATTCTTTTGTTGTGAACTAACAGTTTTAATACTAAAATAATTAACATGTCGCTGTACATGACCCTCACTTTTCTTATCTTATCTTATTCCTTATACATTGTTTCAAAGTCAAATGTCAACAAGTGAATTTCCATAAGAAATTGTTCGTGTTTTGAAAACGACTCATTGTCATAATTTTTTTGGACATTCAGATGAAAATTTGCCTAGTTATGTTTCAGCATCTGGAAGTTCCAGATAGCTGTCAGAGTGTTAGAAAATCTACCCAAATAGCTAAAAACACAATAACAACCATTAAATTAAAAGGTCTTTAATAATAAATTTAATGAACTTGAATTTCATTTGCATTGTAAGTCATCATAACACATGTAACATTTCTTTCATTATTGCCAACATATTTATTATGTGCAAGTCTGTTTGAGTTTTAGCTAAACTACAAATGATTCCTTCTTGCTTGTGACAGCAAAATAAGAAGTATTAATCTCACTTGCATCAGATAGACGGAATGTAATGTAAAGTAATTGCACTCCATTAATATCTTTTTCAAATTGCTTTGGATTCGATTGCAAAGGACATTGCTACATAGCAACGAACAGTTCCTCTTCCGCATCAAACTGATCAGTTTCAATGAAAAAATTCTCTGCTTCTTTAATTATACTAATGTAAGTACAAATAGGCAAAACGGATAATGAATAACTACTACCTTTATTCAAATTCGTTTAAAACATTTGTGTAAATGTCAGAATAATGTGATCAAGATATCTATTAGGATGAGATGTTATGTGTTATTCTATTATTTTATTCTATATTCTTGTATTCACAATTTTAATTCACTTTTTGTACGCAGAGTAGAGAATAATCGATTGAAATAGGAGATACTTTCGAAACATCTTATGGAAGCAGCTATAAATATATTTCCCTAAATTATCATCTCAATAAAAGCGTACTTTCTTGAGAAAGGAGAATTGTCTGTCTCTAAATCCCATAAAGTCTGAGATTTGGAAACTTTCGGGGAGCTAGATTTAATCGAATGATGTCTATTATGCCAAAAAGGAAAGCAGGTCCGCTATTCAATGCCTGAGCCATTAAGCGTGAGGTGGACAATAGGCAGGAAGATTTTGCACCTCATTGTATTAGAAGGATTTTAGTCTGGGGATGCGTATACTCGTATATGAAACGAAGCCATAAAAATAGCTTTAAAATTGAATTACGACAAATTATCAAGACACTTAGAGATGGTAGCGTAAGTAAAACAAACAATGTTCTTTATATATTTTTTTATTGAAGTTCAAGGTTGATTCTATTAAATATTAAATATTACGTTGATGAAATCTCTAGAACCTATTGTTCGAGTTCAATAAAGAAGGTACAATTAATATTCATAAAGGTAGAACGTTTAGAACAGATTCTTTGGGTCGGAAATAATAAGATTGAGAAACAGAAAAATATGCCATAGATGCACCTCTTTATTAAAATACAGGGTGTAAAAATTATGGGTACTTAAAAAAAGGTTTTGTATTAATAACTCTAATTATATTTTAAAATATTAAATTGTAATTGTGAAAATAGCAGTCACTATCACCCCATATTTTTTATGCACGCCTATAATTCAAAAGTGACCTTTTTCCTTTACCTTCCTTTACCTTTTTCAATCTTGTTAAATTTTGATTTGAGGGAAAATGTAAATTTATTAAATATGTAATAATATCGACTAATTTGCTTTTTTAATTTCCCATTTTGCTTTGCAATTATGATTTGTTGTATTTGTCTCAAGCGCAAAGTATATGGTTCGTATTTGACAATTGCGAAAACGAATTGCGGATTAATAGAACATAAATGTGCAGTGGTGGAGGTGGTAGACATTTTGAACTTTTAGTTTTTAATATAAACTTCTTATATTTGATATGTTTTTTTTCTAAATTTCAATACTGGAATGCAGCTAACTTTAAATTTAAATTAATTATATTTATTAAAATAGAAGAAAACGTGGAAAATCATTGATTTTTTTAATGGAAGCGTATATTATGCCATTCTTGAATTGTACCGTAAATTCTGAACACTTTTTGTATAACATACCATATCTCTACAATCAGAGGTTTTCATAATAATAATGACGTTTGAAATGTGATAGATGGAAAAAAAATAATGTTTAACCATAAAACATTATTTAAATAACAATTGCTTTATAATAAATGTTCAATGTTTTGTCCGTTTGCTTCAATACATTTTTGTAGTCGAGGGATTGTTTCCCGTTGAACGTTTTCAATTACTTTTACTGGAATAAGTCTTATTCCCTGGCGTATGATCTGTTTCAAGTCATCAAGATTATTTGGTCTATTTACATAAACTTTAGACTTCAAATAACCACATAAAAAGAAATCTAAAGGGGTTAAATCCGGTGACCTTGGTGGCCACTCAATAGGACCTCTGCGTCCATTCGATTTATTAGGATTAATTAGAATTGTAGAATGTCAATTTTCAATTTCATTTAACATTTAACCTCACTTTATTTCACTCCACGTGTTCGACATTGTTAGTCAATTTCTGTTTCTTTCTCTTGTTATTTACCAGTAATTGAAGTTATATTTAATGTTGTATATTGTTATGTCGAACTTATTAGATTTTCAACGTTTCCTAAATATTTTTTGGTATCTAAAATTTAACGTAAGTAAAAATGTTTTGCTTTATATAATGTCATTTCAAACTCTTGTTGATATTTTAGGAATAGATCCGATGATGACTATGTAGTCGAAAGCGCTCAGCTAAGATTTTAATAATATACAAATTTCTTTGGCTTTTCTTTAAATTTAAAAAAAAATGTTCAAGGTTGTTCAATTTAAACATTTTATTTAATTACTTGTGTGTATTTCAAAACGTCAATTTTCAAACGTTATTATTACGAAAACCGCTGATTTTAAAGATATAGTATGTTATACAAAAAGAATTTACCGTACAATTCAAAAATGGCATAGTATACAGAGCGTTCCATTAAAAATCAATGACGACTGCATCTTGAGACCCCTTGTATACAATTGTCCACAAAATAATTATCTGAATTTTAAACGAATAGAGGAAATCATTT